TCGAAATGCAACACTTGATGGAAGCGGATTTTGCAAAGAGGCAGGTACATGTCTAAATTGTGCGCAATACTGTGTGACCTCATCGTCCTACCAAAAACAACAAACCACCCATGCGGCATCGTACATCCTCCCGCGATGATGGGCTTACCTACAGGTCTGAGGAGGGGGTGCAGGGAACTTGAACACAGCATGCGGACGGGCGTGCCTGCTTACCGATTGCTTGCCAAGGTCTCTGATAATCCGGCCCCTCGTTCTGGCAAGAAGGCTATGGTTTAGAATAGGGAGGAAACGAAAAAAAAAACCAGGAACGCTACGCATGGCATACGTAGAACCCCTCTAGATCTACCAATTCTAGGTCAACTAGTTCCATCTCCAAATACAATCGCAAGGCCAACTTGCTAGACCCTGCATCCTCCGGCTCGCGAACCCCGAACCAAGATGCGGCACGCAACGAACCATGTTTACCCATGCTGCCATGCAGAGCTGGCAAGAAAGGCTATATGACGCTATCAAGCCTCATTCGCAAAGAACCCTGGTTTTCCAATAATGTGGACAAAATCATGCACGGTGATTCTACAAAGTCGAAGAAGGTTGGAAGGGTGGTAGTAGGGCATGATGAATCGTAATGGAAGAGGGGAAGGGGGGGGGGGGTCCAGCGATAAGCGACGTCACGGTGCAGTGTCCCCACGCAGCCCGACCCAAACACACGTTTGTGCCAAACTACTACCGGTACGCAGCAGACTGCAGTTGAGTACGCAACAGCAGCAGCAGGCTGAGAGCATAGCCAGGGTTCTTCAACTACCGTCGATCGACGGCAGGAAGGAAAAAAAAAAAGAGCTGCGCTACTCCAAAAAGTAACATCCCGTCCAAGTTTGCAATATGCCATCTGCGCAGTGCAAGTCCGGGCTCTGATGCCGTGATACCGTTACACTGTGGCACGCATGTACATGTGGCGTCGGGAACAAGGTCGGTACTACGGATAGGTATTCATTCCTATGTCCCTAGGCTTTTGCGCAGGAGCGAATGAGACTAGTCGAAGCAGCAGAAGCAATCTTGAATTGCGAGTAGCCAGGCGCGAGAGAGAAAAGAACGCAAGAGGAGGTTGGAAGCGAAGGAGTCAGTGGATCCTTTGCCGCGTAGTGGGAGGTTGGTCGAAACGTAATGTCTCTGTCTTGTCTCTCGCGTATTAGTTCATTGAGGCGAATTACATCCAAGAAACAAAACTGTGCAACGAACGAGATTCGTGGACGCGGTAGGTACTTGAGTTGACACAATCTTTGCATTGCAATGAATCGTTGGCTCAAACTTGTTCACTGCTGTAGTCGCTGGAACAGGTTTGAACAAGACGTCCAAAACATCAAAAGATGCCCAGTGACGTCGGAAAAGGTTGGTGGTTGGGCTGTTGGATGCAGCAGGTGGGGGTGTTGCAGGGATGATGTCATGTCACCGTTTTTTTTTGGCTTTTCCCTTCCTCCATCTCCCCCGAATGAGGTGGAGACTGCAACACCGGCGGCCGGGGCACGGTGCACCGCCGGGACCAACACCGTCGGGCGGGGGAGGGGAAAAGGGGAGATGCGGAGGCGGAGACGGCGATGCGGAGAAAGCAATCGGGGAGAACCCCTACTGCTTGCCTCCGATCGACATGAAATTTGATAAGAGTCCGTTTCAAACTAATCGAAACGGAGACTCCCTTGGAACTTTCCATCGTGCCATCGCTGAACAGTGCATGATCCATGTCTGAGTCGCCGGCACCCGGTGCCATTCGGGTCTTCGCGACGAGTGCAACCCCCAGCGTGGGATTTGTTACGGTTGGACATGTTTCGATCCGTTTCAGACCGAGACGGAGGGTCTCGCAAAGCTGAGGTGTTGACCCAAGTGTGAGACGATGGACGCTTTTATCGTCATGCCTTGAGCGGAGACTATATCTTGCTATGATTATTAAACCGTGAATCGAGTTTGTTCGCTGCGTTGCGGCAACTCAAACCCTTATGTTGCCGTGTTTCTGCAAGGTAGGGCTGATCGTCACCGAGGCAAAGCGTTGCATTGTGCCATGAGATATCAGCAGCGTCTGACCAACAATGAGATACTTTGATAGACAGTGCAGGAAACGCCGCAAGGCTACACGTAGGATCTGGAAGAATGGAAGCTGCGCAGTCGCATGTCAGCACTGCATGAGCGTCAGCACCATAAACTCGTCAATCGGCTACTCGAATAAGCTCACAGTATAAGCCAGAAGAGAGCTGCAGATGACCTACCTATCGTCGAAGCCACTGTCCATTGCTCACTGATGGGAGCCCTCTCGGCATGCCCATAGGCTACGTGCACACCAACGTCTTGCTTCTGCAGCTGACTCAGTGTGGTGGGTTGACGACGCTCTCCAGTATTGACATCCGCCCACTCGGATGATCTCAAGGTGTTTGGCGGTGAGCTGTGTTTGGCAACTTTAGGACCTTCCCAGGAATCATAGACCCGGCCGCCATTCCAGATTGGTGTCGACGAGTTGACAGTCCTGAAGTTTACGACATGGTCCGAATCCTGCCCAGGAAATTGGGCCGACTGCGCCACTACTGGGCAACTAGCCGTAGGCAGGCAAATTTGATCTTTTGTCCACCTGATAATAATTTCGGATTCTCGTGGCCCTGGACAATTTGCCAAAGGCGCCAAAATCTTGTTGACTTCAGCAATCGATCATCACCAAGCGCTCGGAGGATCGCAGTCGAATCCGCGGCCGTAAAGTGCCAGAGTAAAGACGGCATGCATAGCCTCAACATCGGACTGCTGACATCCTATCTTGGTCTTTGTCAGCCTCCCGGCAAACACATGGCCCGTCCAAAGTCAGCATCCGAAAGAAGAGACGAAGCAGGAATCTTATCGATCCGCAAGCGAGTGGGATTTTGTTTTATTTCTCTGCGCGTTAGCTGCAACACCAGCTCTACTGCGCCATTCCAGCCGCAGACTTCGGACCACCATCTCAAGTTTGTTCGAGTCGGCGCGGACACGGCCCCACACCACCGGGAGATGTGCGCCGAGATGCTCGCGAATCAGTCTGATAGCCTGCTTTGGATATCCCCCGCATGTGTCCATCCCACGCAGCTGGTAATAGTGGCGTACGGCTCATACTGCGTAGACATGCCGTGCTATTCTCCATCAGCAGTCAGTCATGTCCTGCAGGCTTTCGCGTTGAAACAGGACCCTGTTGCACATCATGCAGCGAATGTACAATTCGTGATACAAGCCCGTAGCGCTCGCTTACTACCGTCCAATGACCAAGACGGCTCGGTCAGCGGCAAGAGAGATGAGACGGCTCGCCACGTAAGGCTGGCCGGAAGATATTGCATGATACTGCATCTGCTATCAACGGAGAGCGGCAACATGGGATGGGGTTGCCGCGTCCCGAGAACATCTTTGTTTCTGTCAGGGGCCATGCGTTGCGGGACGTGTATCATTCTCCGGATCCCGCGACGATCATACAAAGTCCGGCGTGGCGGACAGGCTTCGCGATGGCTCGTCAGAGGGAGCCAGAGCTGGCAGATGCAACCCAAGGGATATGACAGCATATCCGTAGATAGCCATGTGCTCCGAATCACGGCCTCCAGGGGAGACTCAAGAGCTACATGGAGGAGATGCATGGCATGTGGCGGCTGGTGGAGGCCAGTCCGCTGATCTTTGAGCAAGTAGCAGCACTGTACGAACGAATGTGGTTCGATCGCAAATCAACGGCCATGACTCCGCTCTTATTCGAAATATCGCCGCTGGCATACCTACTCAACCAAGAAGAAAGCCTTTGTTGAGAACGGGCCGCTCTCGTGTCTCAGACAATGGAAGCCACAATTCGGTCCCTCGAGACCTTTCTAGAGACTGAAGGTGACTGACTCTCGACGCTATCACTCTTCCCCATCTTTCTCTCGCCATTCCTTCGCAGCAGCAGGGAAGAGGGAAAAATGTGAAAGAGGGCCGTGATACAATTTTAGAAAGTTGGACCGGTTAGTACCTTGCCGTATGTGGGCTAGCATCATCTCGCATAGAGGTTGGCGTGCTTGTCGTTTTTGTGGCTGGAATTCTGAGGCTGCCGCGATTCTGACCGCTGAGTGGCCCGTTGAAAAACGTTGACTCTGTTCAAGCGCCAGGCGGTGATCCGTGATTACCAGTGGAAATGCAATTGTGGGGATGGGAGGCCAAGAAGGTGTGGTTAACTCGGCCGCGACATGTCCACCAGAGCCACTTCTAGTGGGTGCGCTAGAACTGAGAGGTTGACTAGTCTCATTGTGAGGAGTGGGAGACTGAGGGTGCAACCTGGCGAGCCTGTTCTGCGGGTACGGTCCACGGAGTTTACTGCGTAGTCGTGGATATTTCGTACGCGAGACAGTCGGTCTGAAAACCCGGCGGGCCCTCTTCCTGTGTGGTAAGGGTGTTGGAAGGAATGGAAGGAAGAGAATGTTCGGCAGCAAGGGACAGACAGTCAAGGGACCGAGGAAGCGAGCCCGTCAGTCCGCAAAACCACCGGGTTCAGGCTCGGAGTTGGTCCGTTGCTGATGAGCCAGGCAGACAGGTGATGAAGAGACGGAGACGAAGGAAGGGACACGGCGTTGAATATGCATCCATCGTGTTGGAATTCATCGCATCTTTCGAGGTCCCCACTGAGGACGCCCTGGTCAAATTACCGTCTGCCGGCGTCAGTCTGGTCTTGGCCTGGCAGCCGATAGCACATGGGCCGATGAATGGGCCAAAATGCGCCGCGCCGTACGCAGTAAATCTGTGAGAGAGAAAAGGGACCCTCTTCTCATTCCGAATCATGATTGCTGATGGCCCGTTGCCCGCCGAGCACCAGCGATGAGCCTTGCACTTCGTATCACGTCGCATACGAATAGCGATATCACGCGCATGGCGATTGAGTCCTTATTGTGTCGACACACCTCCCTACCCCGTACACTGTGTGCGTTGCTTCCGGCCAGAGACGGACGCGGTACGGCCTTGTATCTCGACGGCTGTAGTACGGGAGAATGACCCCGATCGTCGTCCGGAAAACGTTGAGCATTGCCAGTCGCCAGAAACACTCTGCGCTTGCAGTCGTCCCGAAACGAATCGCCATGCGGTTGCAGGGCTTTGCTTTGGCATAATGAAGCACTTGAGCCGTCAGGAGCGTTTGGGTCAGGGCCCTTGTAAAAAAACGCTGATAAGCTTGTCTCGTCCCCGATGGCTTGGGTTTGTGCGTTGCCGCACTCCCAAGCTTTAACTGACAGCTCTCGTCCAGTGACAGGCCGTGAAGCTCACAGACCCAACCTGGTGAGCGAATGACCGTCTCCCAGCCTCGACAGTGTCTGTCGCAGCACATCAGACGAACGGCAGGGGGTTGCCCGTTCCAAGGGCCGTGACTGGCCCAAAGAGCTCAAGAAGCAACCCCTCGTTGCTGGAATTCGGCAAGCTGGCGACGAAACACTTGGAAAGAATAGCGTCAGTCCTTGCCCTTGAAATCGCTGGCGCGCCTCAGGTTTGAGATCGTTTCTCAGACGGGGCAAGGCAGCTGCAGGGCGCGAAGAAACATCTCTTCTCTCGCGTGCTCTTCTGCTGCAAGGGCGAGCCTTGCTCTTTTTGAGGAAACATTTATCGCATGGCGCTGCACGCTTAACCTACTGGCGCAGTCACTCTCATCATTGGCATTCCCCTCAGCGGCACAGAGAGAGAAAGGCGAGACGGTTGGGGCGAACTGAGTTGCTTGCGATGGCCAGGCGGCAGAGAGACAAGACAAAATGTCGGTCTGGGATTCGTGAGGCAAAGAGCGACGAAAAAATAAAATAAAAATTGTCCCGCATCTGGCGTCCTAGGGATACGGCGGAGAAAAGAACTGGAACCGTTGTTCACGATGTGATTCGTGCAACCCGTAGGGAATCTGCCGACCCAACGTGGTGTCACTTTGACGATGCAACGCTCTGTGCCTCGCATCTGTCCAGTGAGATGTCGGCAGCCTCTTCGCTTCCAGTGAGACAAGCCGTTTTTTTCACTCTCGAGTCTTCCCTTTTCTAGCACTTGCATCGATATCGCGCGGCACGGTGCAGCAGGTACCAGTCCAGATCGCGGGCCAGGGTATCGAATGTCTACGGCGAACCTCTGGAGGGCGAAGCGCACACATGCTGCGTGCTCTCAGAGTTCCACACCATTGAAGCATCTTGATATTGTTCCACAGCCACATGATGGCGCGGAGGCGGTAAAGCGTGCGTCTTCTGATAGCCTGCGCGCCGGACAAACAATAACGTTGTTGCTGTCGGTCAATCTTGGCTTCTGTGTGCCATTCCCGGAAGACATCGGCCGGGCCATTGCGAAATCGCACTTGCGGCCCTCCACCTGGCCCCTTCATGTCAACAGACAGATTGCATCTTGATTGCGCCCGATACGGTATCTCGTTGTCGTCGTCGGCCTCATTTAAAGTAAATGGCATTCTCCCCCAGAAAACCTCGGTCTGTCCGCAGACCATGGCCCTGGAGGCTGGGCAGGCTAGGCCGCAAGGGTCTTGAGCTGTTTGGACCACGGGTTCGTGATGCTTCTTTTTTCTGGCACACTCGCGTACATGCAGATGTGCGGTATCATGGATTGCCAAGGCGGAGGGGGTTGCCTGCACATCGATGATGGCCCGTCCTTGCCCTGCACAGCCTGTAGCCGGAGAGCGAGGAGCCAAGACATGTTCCGCCGTGAGCCCGAAACATTGGAAATGTTTCTCCCTTTTCTCGGGATCGAATTGACTTGCTCCCTTTCAGTTCCAGCGGCGGGAGCGAGAGCATCCGTCGGGTCGCATGAGAAAATCGAAGAGGACGTTTTCATGCGGGCAGGAATAGGGTTCCTAACGCAGACGGGACTGGACGAACATCATTTGGCTCCGACGGCCGTTTCTGGTGGTCCGACAGAAGGCGGCTGCCGGCGGCCCCTAAGACGGCAAAGGGGCGTCAGGTCCAATCAGCCATCTGGAGGCCCCTACGGTCTACCAAAAGATGGAAAGATGCCTCCAATCACGAAGACGGTGGAGGCGGATGTAGACGCAGACGCTTGCGTTCTTGTCGCTGCCCTTGGGCTGAGGAACGCTTTTCCTTGGCCGTCGAGGAACCCCAAGATGTCGTCCCTTTGGACAGCAAAGTCGACCCCTGCCACCGCCTCATCTGGTGGTGTGGAGTTTGCTGCTGTGATCGTGGGTGTGACCAACCCCCCGGTCGACTGCGAGAGCGATAGCTTGACGAGAGGTGTGGGGTGTTTGGCGCTGGGAAACGTCGATAAGCAGGGAAAACGAACGAGGCTCATGATGGGATGACGAAGAGTGCAGTAGGCAACATGCCTCGCTGCGGCTGTTACAAGTCACGATGTCTGGCAGAGTTGTGGAGGGCACAGTAAGATGCCGGCCACCAGGAGTGATGGGTCGTGAGCGGCATCAGCCTGGTGGTTGAGGGATGTTGAGCAGATGACAGCATGGGCTGAAGTGCCGGCGATTAGACTGGACAAAGTTTCCACACACTCGTTCCTCCCTCCAATCCACAGCGACGAGACTATCGCGAGGGCCATAACCGTGGCCGTGGGTAGGGCGGCTTGGTCGGTTTCGTCTTTCGTCAGTCTCGGTAACCCCTCGCATCGGCAGACTCGCCTTTCTACTCGAGTGCTAAGAAACGCCATGCCTCATGGAGGTGATAGCCTAATGGAGACATCTGGAGAGGTGATGGCACGCCGCGAACCCCGTCTAGACGAGGTGTATTGTGCGGTGCGGTGCGGTTCAGGCATCGTAGATGGCGTCTGGTCGTCAGTAGCACCCTTTTACATGAAACGACGCACTTTAGAGGCAATCCTCGCAGCAGCGCGTGGTCAGGATGGCATAGTGCTGCAAGTAGGAAATGCGGTTGTGAAGCAGAGTGCCAGAATTGGCCAAGGCTGGACAGCGCGGTCCTGACCTGAAGGGCGAATTAGAGTGTGGGGCCGTAGATTGTGCAGTCAATGATGAAGGGGCACGGCGTAGGAGATGTGCCAGGTGTGGCCCGTGTGGGTAGCGTCTGTGATGCAAAGTGTGGTGGTTGTGGTGGTGGGTGTGCCTGGTGCTGGTGCTGGTGCTGGTGCTGGTGTGTGGTGTTTGGCGTAAGGAGGAGAATTGGTGGTGTAGGGGGTACGAAGCATTTCGCGGATGGGCGTGGAAAGGGAGTGGGTGAGGAAGGCGTCTATCCGTAGGAGGTGCTCCGTAACCCGTTAGTCGTTACTCCGTCCTCCATGCCACCATCGTCGTGTGGTCTGGGAGAGCATGGCCGTGATTGTAGGCTCGATGTAAGGTTTGGTGCGGACACCCCACGGACAGGTTGAGAGAGATTGACGGAGAGCTAGGCAGATAATTAGGGTGAGCAGTACGGACATCTGTGTGTACATGACAGACTCACAGCCATTGATTGAGCCACAATCACACGAGGTGACTGAGCACTCTGGCTTTACTGCGTACTCCGTCGTTGATGGTGCTCGGGAGACTGGGCGTGGGTGGTGGATTGCGCAGAGGAAGTGCCTTAGCTAAGGTTGCGAGGCTCGTAAGGTGTCGATTCTCTTGAGTCTGATGGATCATGGGAGAATACCTTAGGTACGGAGTATGGTAGGTACGTGCCTCATCTTGCAGAGTGGACAGCCAAAAGAAGGAGCGACAGGGACTAGCGGGGACTTGACCTCCCAGCCCCTGCCTCGCTTTCTCTCGCTGGCGCTGCTGCCACAAAAGCCCCCCGGTACATTGTACTGTGTCAACTGCCTCCAGGAGCACTGGGTCCCCGTACCCAAGTGGACCCCGTTCAGGATGAGGACCTGACCGGGATCGGGACTAGGGGGTCACTGGGGGGGCAGCCCAGGATCAGGACATGGGACTTGGGGGACATGAACTTGGGTGCAAGTGCAGAGTGCAAGTGGAAGTGCAGGAGCACCTTGGAGTCTGTCTCTTGTCTATCTGGCGCCTTGCAGTGCCATCTGTGCTCTCTCTGTCTGTTTCTCTCAATCTTTACCTCTCTCTCCACGGAGTGTCGACCTGTCGTATCCCACACCCCTCCCCCCCGGCTACCTATTTGGAGCCCCCGATACTTTGTACTTCGTACCCTACTCCGTACCCCCCGTCCCTTTATGTGAGTCCACCCGAACAGAACATATCCCATCCCGTCCCCAACCCGTCCAAGTGTGCCTGACCGACCCGGCCATAGATATATCCTCCTCTGCCCTCCCACCTCACACCCCTAGGTGCTTCTTACTCTCTCTTTTGCTTCACCAAACGAGTAACTCTGCATTACTCCTCCCTCTGAACATCTTCTCAACTCCAAGCCCATATCACCGGCCTGGACACTTACGCCAACCTACCTGCTAGTCAGCTGTCACTATTTGCTATAGACCAGCTGCACTCTGCACTCGAGAGTCGACTGAAACCGCCCAGTCTCAGATTTCCTTGAGGGAGATCGCGAACTTCACGTCACCGCCAACCATGTCTCTGACCGGCCAGACTATGCCCGCAAGGGAGTCGGTACATTCCAGCCGAGAGGACCGTGTTACCTCCACCATCACAGACAAGAAGGATCAGTCACAAAGGACCTCTTATAGAGACTCGCTCCCCAACGCACCACGACCATCCGTCCAAAACGACGACGCCCCGAACGAGAACGAGAACGCAAAGATGTATGGCGACTACTACGAAGAGATGACGGGTCCTTCCCCCAAGAAGACCCAACCCACACAAACGGCACCAGCGCTACCAGCCAAGAGCTCATTGCGAGCTTCCAGACTCCTCGACGGCATGGCCCTCAAGATCATCACAAACCAACCTGCACAAGCAGCACCCCAAGAAGTCTATCTCTCTTCCGAAGAAGAAGCTTCCTCCTCCGCCGACGAGTTTTCAGACTACGATTACGAGTCCGAGAGCGCAGAGTCCGCCGACTCCCCCGTCCGCAGAAAGAGCCAAGAGGACACTGCCCGCGTTGTGTCTGTCGTCTTCGCCGGAAAGCCCTCCATCATCGACCTCCCCTCAACAAGAAGGTCCGCCTCGCCCGAGTCCATGGAGTCCAGCAGGCCCCCGAGTCGCTTGGTCATCTCATCAACAGCACCCTCATTGCGCAGAATGTCCACCTCCTCCACCAGTGGCGCCTCCTTCTCTCCCGTTTTCCACCCACCCAGGTCAAGCAGCATGATGATCACCAGCAGCATGCTGCCCAAGGAGAAGCCTTCCTTCCTCAGCATCGACCCCTACGCCAGCAAGCCATTTGACGAGCGGGCCGAGGAGCCGCAAGCGGAGCCCGAGAAGCTCGAGAGACCCAAGACTCCCACTTCCCAACTATTCAAGAGGACCCTCAGCATTGTCCGCAAGCGCAGCCGTCCTCAGCTGAGAGACCTCGCTGCCAACAACTCCTCTCGCGACCGCCTGTCCTCGCCGTCACTGGGTCACCTCCCCTTGTCGGCCCACGCAGACATTAGGGAAGAGCCCGAGCAAAAGGCACCTTGGTCCGCCGTCAGCTATCACGATATTATGCGTGCGGCCAAGAAGAACGCGCAGAACCAGCCTCCGACCCCATCCACCCCCGTCGCTCAGGTACAATCGCCCAGCTCACCGGCGGGCAACACCCGGAGCCGAATCCTCAGCGGCTTCACCAACCGCAGAAAGAGCATCAAGATTGGCTAGTCGCCGGTCACCCACCAAAGGAAAAAACTGAAAAACCAAACACAAAAGACACATTCGATACACAACGGCAGGGCACTTTGCTTGCGTTACTTTTTTTGCATTCGGGTCGGGACCATTTGCTTTGCATGCACGGCGCACGAACGGGGACCGGAACTGGATCACGGCGTTTCACATTGACCTTCGGGTTACGGACTTGGGGCTCGGCCAACACTCCTTTCTTCAATTGGCGCAGGGCAATCTTCTCTTTTTTCAATAACGACGGAACGAATTTCTTTGCGTGTACAAATGGGGGTCGAAGTAATGTGTAAAGCAACAGTGGTGGTGGAGGAAGAGGAACAAAAAGCCGCAAGAGCATATCACAAAAGTGTATGATCACTGGCAATGTACCAAAAATGGGACGGGAATGGGCACGCCAGAGAGCGATGGCCTTTACAACCGGGCAGCCGAATCGGCCACACACCCTTCCGCGAGGCTTCGGGGGTGGCGCGGGCTAGTAGACAGCCAATCAATGATACCAAACAACAATGCTCTATTTGTTCAAACTTATTTCGTGTAACCACTGCTACTCTCTTGATGTGATTGTTTGCGCCGTTTGTATGAATTTTTGGGGTCGGTACGGAGTAAGTCATGGGGAGATCACAGCAGCATCCGTGTCCGTCTGCGTCGCAGCTCGGTCCCCCGCGGTGGCATCTGACGAACCGGCTCCCCAAGCTTCGGTTTCGGCCTCTTTTTTGGGTTTTGGAGGTGTTGACAGCAGCGGGCTTGCGATTGGTGCCGCAACTATTTTGTTTTTCTTCTTCTTCTTCTTTTTGATACATTCGCATTCGCAGCCTGGTCTGAGCTTCTTTGGGAACGGCCGGTGTTGTCACTGCTGTCACTGTCACTGTTGTTGGTACGAATTCGACTCAAGCCAGAGCGGAATGGGGAAAAATGCGTCTGGAATGCGCGCCCAGGGTACTCCGGACGACCCGATGACAAACGTTTAGCAATAATATTGCTTGAATGCCGAAACAGGCGAAAACATGACAAAACCAAAACGAAAAACGACTGCAACGAAAAGAGAGAGAGAACCGGCGACGTCTTTTGCTGCGATGCTGTATCGGGACCTATTGCGCAAGGGAAGCTCATGCTATCCTATCCCACCCTCCATCCCACTTACTTCATCGATTCATGACGACCCCTCCTGATCTATTCGGCGCCGCGGTCTCAGACAACTCGTGGTCCCTGCGTCCAAAGTTTCTTTTCTTTTTTTTGTATTGTCCCCCTCAATCGGGAGCAAGTATACGTATGGGCGTCGGCAGGCGTAGGCTATAGGTAACGTGTGGTAAGGTGGTGAAGCCTCTCTTGCCTGTGACCCCTTGCCTTGCCCAAGCAATACTGCCAGAGCCTAGTCGTATATGTGTGTGTGTGTGTGTGTGTGTGTGGTGCGTGATGTATGTCTAACACGCGCGCCAAATACCTACACTACCTGGCCGAACCCCGCACCTCGACTGCGCGTTTGTTTGCGGCAGATGGATGGTCTGTCACGATGCGGCTGGAAAAAGCATGTTCATGGGATAAGGTAAGGGGGTAGGTCAGTATAGGTCGGTTGAGTCCACGATGACGGTGGCGAAGGAGGGGGGAAGGACGAAAGTCTGTGCTGGGAATAGCTACGAGAGTTTTGAGTTGAGAATCGATAGATTGGGCGTGCCATCTTTTTCGACCATCTACATAGCCCTGCGTTGCTGTAGCTTGCTTGGGAACCGGTTTCTTGGAGATGTGGTGATGATGATGCGGCTGCTGCTGCTGATTGGGGGTTGGAGGTTTCCCCCGACTAGGATGTGAGTTCTAAAATAGCCACATTTTTCGTGAGGCTGTTTTTTCTTGAGGTTTAAAAAAGGTACACGTTTTTTTCGCCTCTTCCGCTCCTAGAAAGTGGGGGCATCTAGGTATACTGCGTACACCAGACACCCTGGTCCCGTCTCCCTCTCTCTCTCTATCTCCATCATCAGGTCCACGGGGCGGAATTGGTAGAAATATCCCCCCCCACATTGAAGAGGAAAGCCTTGGCGATTATGGTATGTGGGAGGAAGCAGAAGAAGTTTGATTCTTTTCCCATTCGTACCTTTCGCCTGCGACTACCCGTACCTCACCTAGTTCTCCAATCAATTCCGGCGATCGAATCTGGTCAATGGTAACAGGGTGCGGTGTGGCTGAAGAGCGGTGGTACGTCAATTGCAACGTGGAGTCCATGCAGCAACGTTATGCCTTTTTTTTTCTTCCTCTCTTTTTCTCTTTTCTGCATGGCGCTTTTTATTCCCTCTCTCGCTTCTGGGGACTGCGGACGAGAAGGACGAAAGAGGAATTATGACCCCGGCATCGTGATGCAGGCTCTCCCCGAAAGAAAGAAAAAAAGAATCGTTAAGAAACACGTTGTCGTTGTCGTCTACCGCCTCATGATCCACACCTGCACCTTACAGTCTTACGGGTTCACCAGAATGCTTTATAGCATCCACAACAGAGATAGAGACCGGGAGAAAAGAGGACAGTCGTGGACGGGAAGAAAGAAGAAAAAAGAAAGGACCCCACTATGCCACCGTCAGCCGTCCATCGCCCACCGCCATTATCCGCGCCAGGCGCCCTGTCGCATTCTCCGCTTTGCTGCAGAGTGCAGTGTGTTGCCGTTGCACTTCTTGCAGATGCGGCCCCCCTGGTCCTATCGATTTTGAATCATTGGATGATTTTTTTCTATCTGTATCCGTACCTTACTTGGCTGTCTCTTTTTTTCTCCCACTGTGAGGAAGTGTCTTTTGACGACCTTGCCTGTCTTTTCTCGACCATGACGCATGGTTTCTTTGAAACGTCGAATAGAGTGTCATAGTCCGAGAAGTTAACCATTAGGTACTATTATATGTCACTGCGATATAGAATCCCCGCCGTCATCAAGTAAACTTTCTCGAAATGGTGGCTCGTCGTTGGGAGGGTTCGTGGTAAGGCAGATATCAATCAGGTGCGCGCACGTGGGGTGGGTGGTTCGGCCGCTGAAGGAAATCCTGCTTTTTGCTTTGCGTGCTGTGATTGGTCTGTTGATTTGGCGTGGGGGGGATTTTGGGTACGGATGCCTTCAAGATGCGTGCTGCCTGAAGACGTCTTCGATTTGCTGCTCCACGGCATCATGAGTTCGGATTGGAGCCCAAAGACTCATTGCTCAAGAGGAGAAATGATGGAGGGGGAAAGGGTTCGCCGTTTCCCTGGTTGACCGAAATTTATCGTCATCTCCCGGGAATTTCGAGGTTGCGTTCTGGCGATCGAGACAGGTCTGCACCGTCGCAGTACTAAAAGTGGCATATTTCGGCAATCGTTCTCTTTCGTCTTGAGGTAAGGTAGTTCCTCACACGCACCCGCTGCGCCCATCCATCCAGGTGTCTGGTTCCAACTTCTAGCGCCGCATAGTCATGGAACCGCCTTTGGATCGCGAGAGAAGCGGTGATGGCACGAGCTGAGCACGAGCTCCGTACCGTGGTCCCGTATGACAGTTTCCCACCCGATCCCCCGATTCCCGGCGCAAGGCGTGCAAGTGCGTGTGTAAGCGTGGTACGTGTAAAGTAACCTCGAGTGTAACGCAGACGGCGGCGGCGGAGGATGGGGCACGACGGGTTCAACAGCCTTCGTTCTCATCCGTTCCAATGTAACCTCGAAACGCCGGGTGCGTGGGCGATGGAGCACCGTACGCGATGATTGAGAAGTTGAAGAGGGGACCAAGTATGCGCTGTTGTCTGTCGAACGCAACATGGCAGGGTCTTGCATGCTTTCAGACCGTCGAGATTCCCACTATATCGGAGCTTACCTAATACCCGCGTGCGCGAAGGCAGTTGAACCCAGGATGCATTACCTAAGCTGGAGAGCTGAAGAGCTGAAGACGTGTGTACGTCTGCCCTCAGCCACAATCATCCCGGTAACACTTGTAAGCGTATAACACGCCGGTGCTAAAGCTATATTACCTTTCTCGACAGAAACCCGCACACTGGATGCGTCGGAGCCTGAAAGTGGGAGTTGAAAGTGGGAGGGGCGGGCTGGAGCGGTGCGGTACGGCGGCCGGCCGAGTTCTAGGCTTCCCGGCCGTCGGAGCCATGTGGGTTGAACTCTGGGAACATCGTGGCAAAAAAAGATGAAACTTCAAGAGCCTTGGTATTGGTGTAGGTTGACGAACTTGCGGCTGAGATGGCTATCCACAAACCACTTTACACATTCCTGCACTGTCTTTTGGCTGCGTCTAATTGTTCCCAGGGTCCGCGTTCTTAAGTCTTTACACGTGTAAGTAATCCCGGCGCAAAATAGTGTTTACAAACAGTAGTCTATTTCAGACAGACGGCGCTTAGTTCAGCATTGTAAGTGCCTGGGATTACCTAAGGTCATGACTTGCTGGGCCGCTATGGGGCATATGCCAACACGCGCCTTTGTTTGAAGTTAAGCAGAACAACTCTGAATCTAAATCAAAGACTTGGAACCGCGCACTCTATACGAAGCTACCGGTTCGGCTACGGCGCCGGACGCGACGTGAGGCTTGGGTTGCGCTTACACCCACCCCAAGGCTTTTTCTTGTCTACCGTTCGGTGCTGCTTAATCGTGGGGTGTAAGTCTGCAGGACGTTGTGTAACTCCGAAACGTCATTGGCTTAACTCAACGTCAGCATTCTTTCTATTGCCCTTTTCGGACAGAAAGACACTTCCTGTGATAATGTCTTGCAGATCCCGTTGCGAACGAAAGAGATTGATGACGTTGGACAAAAAAACCGGGACCGAAGAAATCTGACCATGCCGAATGGGTTGCAAACAGACGGAACACCGACCACGGCCCGGACGACGACTTGACGGATACTGTTCTGACTTTGCCTGTGCCGTTGCCGTTGCCGGGAGGCTGGTCACGCAAGCCCCCCGGAGATGGTGATGATCGGCCCCTCCTGACGGCTGATGGTTCACGAAGACACACCCCTCTTCTCCGCTAATCTGGCAAATCTTGAAGTTCGCAACTTTACATGCACGTTTGTGCGACGGTGGCTTTTTCTTAGCGCAGTTTTCTTGGTTCATCACCATCACCATTGTCACGTCGCGAGCAAACTACCGCTAAAGTAGTGAATCCGGGGACTTGCCTGTTGGCTTTTTGATTGTTGCTTCCAGGATGATAGTTGAGCTCCTGAGCACTGTGACAACTACCAAGGACGATCCCAGCTGTGAAGAATAGGCTCCGGCCCAAGGGAAATTCGTTTCCCATCTTTCGTTTAATCAATCGCAGAGCAGCTCCGGCCACCACGGTCTCTACCTTTGTCCTGGCATTCCCTTGTGTCACCAAAATAGAACCGAGACCAACCAGTGACTAAATTGACCGTGTCTTCCGTTTGCGTTGATTATGCGAGCGGGACGGACGCGGGGGAGGGGGGGGGGGGAACGAACTGCGTTGGGCGATTTATGATGATGCCATCACCCATGGAAGGGAAGGGGTGTGTCTTGGTGACTGACGTTTTGATAGGCGACACCGAACAAAGTCATGCGGAGTTTAAGCTTTCGAAATGTATCTCAAACAGTTTGGCGATCTTTCTTTAGAAGATTTGCAATCTGCAGATACGACGCTGCGGTTGTTCCTCGTTGGATTACATAAACAGAAGCACTCGCATACTGTGTAGGTACTCACTCACTTACACCCCTCCGCCCGAGGTGGGAGATTCACGACTCGAGTCTTCGGCTTCGCAGATTTGGGCAGACAAAGACTCCAGCCGCGCCGAGGCTCGCGATAATATAGATATATAGACACTCAGCCGTCAGTGTGCTTTTGTGTTCTTGCCATTTCCGGTGCTTCCTGAACGAAAAAAAGTCAATTGCAACATGATTGATGAAGAAGAAGCAGCGAAACTCAAACAAACTCAATCAAAAAGAAGCGTCGCCAAGCAGAACCACACGAGTCTTGATTGAAAGCTCTTGGCCTTCCCTCGGTTTGCCCGCAAATTTAACTAGGGCCGCAGGAAATCCTATTCCTGAATCCCTAGCTTCGGGCCAACCCCACATCCTATCTATGCAATCAATCTGAAGCAGCAAGAATCAAAATCACCAACACGGTCCCCCGTTCGAGCTAATCAGATTATATCAGCTCTTGGTGCTGGGGGCTTCCCGGGAGAACAAGCACCACAAGAATCCTGCACCCTTCAATCACGCGATTCCCAAAGAGGAATCCTGCAGAAATTGAACCACTGCGGAAGCTACCTACAGGCTACGAGGCTACTCGTCTGAAAAAGCCCACGGGCCGTTTCGCCGCAATCTCTCGTTGTGGGTGAATTAGGCTAGAAGCCTGCTAGACTTTCTAGCTAGTCGACGATAGAATATATCGTACGAACTCTAGCGGCGTAACCAGAAAAAAGAGCCTCACCACCAAGTAATGGAAGCCTCGGGATGAAGGCACTATCTTCGCCGTCTGGAGATTGCGAACGCGTCTTGGCGTCGTGCGAGGTAGATTCCGATCCGCGGGCGGAGCTGGGGGGTGTTCGTTTGCCTCTCTCTCTCTCTCTCTCTCGGTCCAAGCTTCAAGCACCTCAAGTTTCTCAACACCAGTGGGAGCTGTAAAATGAGGTTCCATTCGGAAACCCTGGGGATGGCAGATTTCCATCGCTTGTGATCCCAGCCTAGTGTGGCTCTGGGTGTGGTGTGGCTCCGTTGATCCCGTCCTCCGTGCCATTGCCACCATTCTTCACCGCCGCCTCCCCGCGATTCTTTAACATTGCGATGTTCATGAGTCCGAGTGTGATGGCGTACTTTGCCGTGCGATGCAAGGCGAGAGAACCCTCACCCCTCTAAAAGACCCTGACTTGTCATATCATCGTCGTCGGGATGTCGCGGCTGTTGATCTTTCTGTGTACTGCGTAAGGCAAGGCAAGGCAAGCTGCAATTCTCTCGCGCTTTGACCCGGTGGAACTACTAACAGGACCCTCTCTTCATCATGGGGAATATCACGGTGATCTGTCTACTTCGTTGTCGCGTTTTGCTCTCTGGTCGTACAGATCCTTAGTCAGAGTTCAGAGTCGAAGAGGACCCAGGGAACCCAAACCCGAGTCAAGAACAAAACACGGACCGTGTTCGTTTCGTTTGGCATCCCGTCATCTCAGCACTGGGCAACCCAGAGTCAGTGAGCCTTGCCTGCGGGTGTTGTGCATCTCTAGCGGCGATTGTATGTGCGCGTGTGTATCCGTATCCCGTATGCGCCCCTTGCGTCCTTTGTCTGTGTGCGAAATGTGAGGGTGAGACTTTCAACATCTCTGGGGAAGAGAGAGGAGACTCGAGTATTGGTTCTCGGTGAGGCTTCAGCCAACGGGCTTACACCGATTGCTACGAGCCTCTGTCCGGTACCTAGCAACAAGGAATGGGGCCCCCCAACATGAGCGGTCTGCACTGCAATTCTGCAGAGTCTTTCTCGAGAGCTTACATGTAAACGTCAACGGATCACATTTCCGACGCGTTTACACTACCATTTGCGTTTCTTCCCGCTCCATGCTCAGTACAGTCTGTCCGTATAGCACACCCCTCCCATGTCGTTGTTCATTGCCTGCCCCCAAAGAAAGGAAGAAAAACTCAGCTTCCCCTTGTCGTGCCCCCCGATTTCCTCGCCATTTCTTTTTCCGTCAGCCGTCAAAACGTCGTTACCGCAGATACATGAGTCCCCTATCCTTGCGCCCGTGTGGAGAGCGAAAAGAACAAGAGCGACAAGGAAGAAGAGAGAGAGAGCTTACTGTGTATCCATCCAGAGGAGCCCACACAGTGAAGAAGGCTAAGAAGACCTCGGGCGGACGAACCCAGGAACGACAGGGGATTAGGGGACCAGGGGGGACCATGAGATCTCCATACAGTGCCTCTCGCTTCGTGTCGCTCACCGACTTGCAGATCTACGATTTCCTCCGTCTTCCGTAGTAAGAAAGCTCTGGGAGTGGCTGAAGCCTGGAAAGGTCAAGGTCAAGAGGGCAATGGGTGGCAGGTATGCTTGGCGGTGTGCTTCCCCTGGTGTGTCTGCTCATTTCGCTTTGCTCTCTGAACAGAGCTAGGTGGACTGGGGTTCTGGCGTCGCAGGTTGAGCAGTCCACATGGGGAGAGGCAGCTCAACACTGGAGGAATTATACTCTGCATTGCATTGTGGGGTCCAAGACATGTTCAAAGTCAGGTCAGCCGCGTAGGATGGGACCCCTGGATCTATGCATGTATTCTCTTCCGTTCGTCTCTTGTCCTTCCCGCGCCCCCATCTCCGATTCTGCTGGTGGTTTGTGGCCCCCGCAACACGAACATTGGCCGGGTTGACCGTGGGCGGGATGGCATGGTGGTAATGGATATATCAAGAAACTGATCAGTCATCCAGCAGACGTCGGATGACAAGCACTTGGCACTACAGACGCGGGAGAGTGGCACACACACAGATTGACAGGTTTCGAATCGCCAAGCTATATTCGTACTCTATATCCGTACGGATAGTCTACAGCATCAAGAGCAGCGTCGCAACCGTACTTGGCCGAGCCTGTACCTGCAGGACGCGCCATGCACGCTGCACCCGCCCTCCACTCATTTAGAACTCCCAGTCGTTTTCCCCCTCCCCATCTTCGGAATACCCCAGTCGACATCTGTTTCATCTTCATCTTTTCGTCGTTCGACTCTATCTATCACGATGGCTCAAAAGAGTAACTCGACTTTGGTGGACCTGTTCAACGGTCATGGAGAAGCCGAGCAGCGAGGTCCCATCCACCCATCTGCACGACATTGCAGGAACAAGGAAACTTTTTTTTCCCTTCCCGCCAACCCCGAATAATGACACGACTTTTCTGAGTGATGCCCACACAGTCTGCTGTCTTGCTCAATGTTTCGTTTGATTTGATTTTGGGTTGACTTGACTCTCGGACGCCCCATCATACGAACTCGGCCGAGGTCCCCCTCATCCCTTCAAGGGTTGTTTGTGCAGTTCTTCATGGAGAAAGCTGTCAAATGTAACCGTGCTGAATGGAGACGTTGGAGACAAAGAGGGCATGCTCTCTTTCACAATCGAAAGATGCGGGATAGCATCGGCCAATGTCGACGTCTGCCTCACATAGACTCGCCCACCGGGGGAGCCACCAATCATTTCCCAACGAGCAGGGCCCCTTCGGCTTTTCCCTCTCGCTACCCTCGCATCACATCTCATTGCCGTCCCGTCGTACGGAGTCGTCGTCGTCGTCGTTGTCATCTCAGCCTTGCATTGCATCGCATCCATGATCCGCACATCCACCGACGCTGTGCAATGACTGGACTGTCAGAGCTTAGGACGAAATGTACCTTACAGCACCATGTCATTGTCAGATCAGGTCTCGCGCAGTAGAACGGAACGCCTCTCTCTCCAAGCCCTTGAGCCTCCAAGTCTTGGCCCCCTTTGCTCCCCCCTTCCAGCACGTCGGCCTCTGTATCCCCATCCGGACCTGCATCTCCTTCACCTCCCCTGCAAACGGTCAGAAAAGTCGCCCACGCCTCCACAGCCCAAAGAAGGTAGGTAGACAGGCAAAAGGGCAAGAAAAAGAAAAGAAATAAGGGGATGGATGCAAAGTCACGCATACATCGATTAAAAAGGGGTATGCATTCGGTTGCAACCGTAACGAGCCAACAGCCGCCTTTCTCCCACCCGTTCCCCAGACCTACCTGCTTCACCTTCCCTGAGAAGGGAAACTTAATGCGTGCGCATTAAGATCGTCTTCAGGCTCTCTCGCCCCCCCCCCCCCCGCGGCGGCGTAGAGTCGCACCGGCCAACGGGATAGGCCAGTTTGCACCTTTTCCCCCTCGTGCTCCTCCACCCCTCCGGCTCGTCCACTTGCACCTATCAGCGTCCGCACCGTCCTCCGCACCCGTACCGGCCAACCGCCGAACCAAGCAAGATTAGTGGATCCCCCCGTCCCGTCCCCGATCTCTCGTCCTCTCCTTTCGGTGCCCCTTTTCCTACCTCACACTTAAGACGCTTGCGGCATTACGTGCCAACGGTCACGCATCAACGCACCCGCGCCACAGAGACCGGCTACCTCTTAGCTCCATTGCGACCGCCAGCCAACAGGCTCCTCATGAAGCCATGGGAGATGGGGTACATGCCCTTAAGTGCGTGTACTGTGCCTTAGCATGCTCATCTGTACACCACGACGGGAGGCTAAGAGCCCGCTAGCTTCACGCCCGTCACCATTTGCGACGCTGGCGCACTCTGGAAAGCGTGGTCACGAAGAGCGAGAGATACCCAAGTACTCTCAGAGAGATCGAAAAAAAAAAAGCCACCAGCCGCCGCCAAAAAGATTGTGCGACGCAAGCGTCCAGAGCTTCCCAGCTCAGCGCCATCACGCCCCCAGGTTTGGTTCAGCCAAACAACTTGGAGCTTTGTCTACCGTCCGTACACTTCTTTCCTTTTCTGCTGCTCGCCCGTTGCTCCTATCCGGCGGCTCGGAAAGCTCTAAATTGCTGGTTGCGGGGCACGCAGAAGCAACCCTAAGCTAAAGCCTTTGGTCTCCCAGCCAGCCTCTCTGCCCAGTGAGCAAAACAGGTAGTAGTGGCTCTTCTAGCTAAAAGCCTTCTTTTCCTTCTACGCGTTCGAATCCGTCGTCGCGACTTAGTTGGGTCGTCGGGCCAGAACCCTGCATTTGTCGCGATTCTTCTCTACGTCTCGTTTAACTTTGGATGACCTCTTCGACCACATGTCGTGGCTGGCAGGGCTGGGAGTCTTGCGTGATGCCGGGACAGTTGTAGTGTGACCCGATGGCTGGGAGCAGGGCAACACGGGGACCTTGTGCCCGTGATCCTTTGATGTGCTCGTGCGAGACATGGCAGTTTGGCTTCCACTTTTTCCGATTTCTCGTTCCCAGAACACCGGAATCTGGTAAAAGGAGGGCTTGAGTGACGCCTGACTCGAAACGGGATTTTGCAGTCCTCTACCAGTTACTCATTCCTGCACAGGCGTTGGATGGATTACGGGGGCGGAGATTTGAACCAGAGAGCACGCACGCCGTGGAGATGAGGAACGATTGTGTAGTAGCGAACCGGTCCTCACTGTCCAGAGGCCGTCCCCGTCACCAGCCCACGCCTCCGGGTCCGAGCCCAGTGTAAGTCCGGGCTCTCTCATTCTCCTTTCGTGCTTTTGCCAAGTCTACACCCCTCGTGCTCCCCTTTCGCGGCCGAGCACTACCGCTAGCCACCGTGTTTAATCAAAAGTTGGGATGGCACCTCTCAAGGCTGCCAGATTGCCATGCCCACAAGGCGGCTTGTTAGCGCGCGCAAAGACGCCGCGCCACGAGAGGAGAGAGACGGCCTTCTGCCCATCGTGGCGCGGCGTGGATGGGAAGGGGGAGCTGTCTAAGTAACGAACCCCTTTTAGTTGGCTGTCGTCCGAGCAAATGAAGAGATGGGGGATAGCTTACGGCTTGCTGATATTTCCTGGGAAGGATGAGAGTCGGATCCGGGAGATCAGTTCAGGCAAGCGGGCGCCGAATCGACGGACGGGTGCGAGTGATCTCTTTCGGCGCCCGCGGAGATGGGAGAGATCGGGAAGCGAGTTTCACGAGCATCTTTGTGGCCCTTTTGCTAGATGTGGCTTTTCGTCTGAGAGCGAAAGGTGGGTTGGAAAGCATTAGGTCTCGTAGTGAAGAAACAACGCATCGCGATGGCCTCATCTCATCGTGGGAAAGGCGTTCGCCTCCGACAAGGGCCTCCTCGTGGCTTTCGCATCCTTCCGATCAGTGGAGAAGATCTCAAACAAGCCACCACTCCGATGGGTCGGGTCCTTGGATTCGAATTTCGAAACAGCCGTCGCCTGCCTCCCGCATCGTCCTGAGGTATGGACAAGCGCTTGCCGATGATGAACATTGGGATCCAGCCACGGGGTTCAGCCTTGCGACAATGTGAACGTTCAAAGATTGAAGATGGTCCAGTATCTGATGCTGTGGCTTTTGTCGCTGGCAACGATCCCTACGGGCTCTTTGCACTTGGGCCCTTGTAAAGAGGCTCTTTTCTCAAACCCCGATGTCGTCCATCATTCAGCCTCATGACGATTACCAAACTTCGGATATTGCCCGCCATGAGGCTCACTGACGTCCTCCGTGCTTGTACGTTATCACAATCCGTCTCTTCCTTCTCCGTATGACACGACCGCTGTGGCGCCAGACTCGCAGCACAGATACCTTCCAAGTCCAGACCTTGAGCATGTCTGACAAGTCGCTACCTCAGGCTGGCATCTTCCCGCCGGAAACCATTGCCCGCTCTCACTACGCCCGCGATGCCGCCCAGACCGTGAGAACCTCGGACGCATACACGCACACAGTCAGAGGGGGGTAACATTCTGTCATTGTGATGGTCTAGCCGGGAGATGAACAGCGCAATGATCGCGACCGCTCACGGCCGCTCTTGTCATGCAAAGACTTCACCGGCACTGACGCCTTTCAACTCATGCGCTGGCGCGGTTGGCATTTCGACGGGTGTCCGGGAGGTCCGAGTTTCCCCCTTCCCAATCCTTCGTTATCCGCGAGACTCGGGAAGAAAGCAATGACCTCCAGCTATGTCTTGTTGTCATTTGCGGGCTCTCGGACTGGTGAGGGTTTGCACTGACGCTTTCCGGGTTGCGCGGTTTTTTTCTGCCTCCCACCTCCTCTAGGCGCTCTCTCTAGCTATTGTATGGCTGGTAAGTTGTGAGAGCATATTGTGACTTGCAGTCAGTAATTTGAAGTGCTAGCTAAAGGGGCACGGTGGGAAGTTTAAACTGATGGAAAGGGGACGTGCGACTCAACTCTTGTCCATGGGAAGTGATCCGGCGCGGCAAGCCCATATGGTCCTCGTCACACATTGTGTTGTATGAGCTACTCAATCACCGACCCCCCAGACATGTCTAGTTGCCATAAGGGGTGTATCATACTTCCGAGCGGGCTGTTGCATTGTTTTTGTGATGAAGGCCGGTTTGAAACCCGAACCTCCCGGACCGCGGAACTCAGATTGTGATATCTGTTGCCGTCGCCGCTGTCTCCCGGGCCCGAAGTGTTTTCCTTAAAGTCCTGACACATTATGATTCGAACCGCGGTCGAGATTCTGAGCAATCCAGAACTTGGAGCAAGAGACCTGTCAATCGGGTCTCTTGAGAGGCGGCACTACGACCGGTCTGCTGTATTAAGAGCCCTGGGCTTTTTCTTACAATCAATTAGCATGTCTTTCGACCCTGGGACCTTGGTACCAGCCTAGACTCATCATCGCTCTCCGTATATACCTTGATTAATATACTCATGTCAATGAGGAAGCGCATAGAGAAGGTCTGCTTGTGGCTGAAATTGCCTTCAGCTGTGCTTTAGTTGTATACAGAGTACATTGATAGCAAGAAGATGTGCCAATCGCCACTGGAGACGTCAGAACCTGCGCTTTCAGGGGTAACCTGAACGGCGAGGTGAAAAGTGTCACATCATCCCTTTCTGAGCGTTGAACAGACTCCTGCTGGAAGATGGAGCCGGTTTGTATTGATCTGCTGTCTATCAACGACTGGTCGTCTGGATGTATATCTTGCTACTGCACCAGCGATCAAGCTTCCTATACTCGGTCTTTGACCGGCCTACACAGCATAACTTGGGGACAACGTCATCCGAAGGCACAACTTTTGGTGATAATCGTCGAGAGTCACTGAGCGCTGGTCTCCAGCCCAGGAACCGGAATCGCCGAGCAGGGTAAGCACGGCGTCTATATCGGGCCACGGAGCCTTCGCCAATCGCTCGCTACGCGAGGCACTGTAGAGATAAGCGCTGTAGGTGATGGAGCCCTAAGCATTCGCGACGAGGAGACCGATTTCGTACATCTCAGCGTGTAAGCGGAAGAGGCAGAGGCCAGCCAGAACAGGCGAACAGAGCAGGTGTCTTTCACCACACCATGCCCTAACTTGGATCGACGGGGTGGCAGCGTGGGCTTTCCGCTGGGTGGACTCTGGTTTCATTGAAGCGTAACAAAGATGGGTTGACCGTAGATACGAGATGAAGGAGCAGCCTATCTTTGAGAAGTAAACGGAGGGTAGGATCAACCTTATCAAGCTCGCTGTCCCCAGTTCCACACGAAATCAAAGCCAACTCGACACCCCTTTTCCTCCACATCACGCTTCAATTCTGCCTCGATTCGAGTGACATCCTCCATCGTCTTGACCGTCTCCTCTCCTCCGTCTTCAACTATGGACGTCAGCGAAGGTCGAATAAGACGCATGATCCCCGAGGTAGCTTCATCTCGAACCGAATCATCTGCGGCCCATGAGTTGAAGATCTCTTGCTCGCAGTTCTGGAACCCAAGCTTTCGAAGCTTCTTGAGCAGGCCCATCGGCATTCTATCGGAAGTGTGAGCAGTGAGCTTCTCATGACTGGAGGCGAAAAAGGGGTAAAGCAAGGCAGCGGCAGTGGAACTACTCACAGTCTATCCCTCCCGACCTTCGCGTCGTGCTGCATAGTAACCCACCAGAACTCTTCATACGCCCTGCTCAGCGGATAGAACCTGATGAGTAGGTCACTCATATCCTCCCAGAGAAGCCACCCGCCCGGCACCAGCAACTCGCGCATGTTGCTCACGGCGACGTCCCAATCATCCTTCTTCAGCCCCAGTGCGAGTAGTCTCACATGGACAAGGTCGAACGTGCCCCTGAACTCCGCCGGAAACGGCTTGAGAACGTCGTGCTCCATGAAGTTAAACGATACTCCTGATCTATGCGACTGGGGCATTTTGAGCCCGTCAAGATCAAAGCCGTAGAGCTCCGAGTCTTGTGGCACGAGCTGGGCGAGAGATGTCAGCCAGACGCCGCTTCCCGTTGCCACGTCTGCGATTCGAGGGGCTCGATCTGGGTTTGCTGGTTCAAGAGATGAGAGGATGTGCGGCGGGAGGAGGTTGACGGTGAGGGGCAGCCAGACTTTGAAGTGGTTGTCAGCCAGGCGCTCGCGCTCGCCGTCAACGTCCCCGCGGTTGAGGTTGTAGATCGTATCGGTCCATGATGACTCGTTTGATGCCTGGGCTTCTGCCATGTTAAGCGTTCATCCAAGTGATGTTCACAACAGTCGCGTACTCTTTCCATGGTTGAGTTCTGCGATATGTTCCCTCAGGTAGCTTTTACGTCACAGATTAGTCATTCCGTGGTCTCCGAACACTTCTCCGTCTTCTGGATCGTCTGGTGCATGCTCCATGCATGCCATGCAGTTGTATTTGGAAATCTGTTGGACTTCGAGTCTTGATAGGTGGACGGAACCCAATGTGGTGTGATGCTCTGAGCTTCATCCCGGAGCTCCGGCTACCCCTCATTCACAGCTGGCAACTTATACCTCCAACAACTGAACACTTACTACGTAGTTAATCCCTCCTTTGATTGAATTAACTCGGACGGAGACTGGGAACGATGCGGGGAAGAGCTACGGAACATCTGACCAGCATGAACACTCATCAAGGATTCAAGATATGGTAGCCCAGAAATTGAAGGGCGTGTCCATCCTCCATTTGAACAAGATCTATAGATAAAAAATTCTCCTACGAAACACGTCTATTCCAAAATATCACCCTCGGCCTCATTAGATGATTCGACCAGCTCTACAAGCTTGATAAGCCACTGCCCCGCGTCATCCGAACTGCAGACCATAACGACATCACCTCTGTCCTCAAGCTCCTCCACAGATGTAACCTTTTCTCCGTCTCCCTCACAATGCCCCAGGAAAGGAAAACTTCCATTCTCGTGACATACGGGATTAAGAAGCTCAGTGGCCGTAAAGTTGTAGTCTGGTATGAAGACGACATTGGTCTGAAAGTCCGTCATGATACTACTAGGCTTCCCACGGCTATCAGAATCGCTGGCCCGAGAATTAGTGAAAGAACGACGTATGGATTTACCAAGTTCGGACATAGATTGGCGGATGTCCTCACGTACTGTCGATTCGCGTGTGGGGATGATGTCCATGTCGTCAAAATTCAACGGAGGAGGTCTGCGCGCTGGCGGGGTACGAGAAGGGGGAAGAGAAGGCGACCAAGATGAAGAAGAGGGTACAGAAGAAGGGACGGGTCGATCACGTACCTCGTCTTGAGCGGGCTGAACGGGAGCTGCGAACTCGTTCGGTGGCGTTGGAGGCACCTCGCGAATAGTTGGTGCCCTGTTTTTGGCAACGGTCTGGCCTTGCGCTCCTCGACTCCGGGGGTCAGATTCAAGCTGGTTGGATCGTCGACTTGAAAGAGAGGCGTGGCCACTGATGACTCTTGGTTCTTCAATCGGCCTTCCAAGGTTGGATGGTGATTCTTTCGCGATGTTCAAGGGGGCGGGCTGGTCAGAGTCAGCCCTCCAGGGACTCTCACAAGTTTCAGGGGCCGCATTCACCTTCAAAGATGCCCGCGTAGCAGAGTCCAAGCTTGTCGATCTGATCGAAGCAGACCTGGGTTCTGGTTCGATGTCTTGGTTTTGGACTGAACGACTGCGATCTACCCGTGGACGACCACGTTCATAAGGAGCGCTAGGAGTGTCTTCTGGACGTCCACCCCGAGAAGGTCTTGGAATATTCGATGCTCCCCTCGATAGCTGGCCAGGCCGGCTAACTCGCGAGCTACTCAAGCTCGAGCTGCGATGTCTTCGGGACGACGTTCCGGGTAACGACTTCTGGAGGCTGGATACGCGTTCAGGAGGTTCGGGTGGTTTCCCCGTCATAGTCCTGGGTCCCTTTGGCTGCTGTCTTTGCTGGACAGGGCCGGGGACTGTTACGGGAGCAGGCTGGTGCTCGGGGGCGCTTGGTCGTTTCTGCCATACGTTCTCGAGAGGCCCGGAGATCTCACGTTCTTGCTTTGGCTGCTGCTGCTCTACCTGCTGTTGCCTCCGCTGATCTTTTTGTTGCTGCGCTGGCTTCTTGGGTTCTTCCTGCGACCCCCCTTGATATGCTCCAGGGGGGGACTCGGGATAAGGCGGCTCTTTGACGTATGGTTCATGGTCTGTTAGTCTCCGACGGGGCTCATGCTCTCTCTGTTCCTCCCGGCCTAATTGTATCGGCCCTTCGGCTTCTGCTTGTTGCTCTCGCTCCTGGCCCCTGTGTTGCTGTTGCTCGCGCTGTTGTGGTTTGTGCTGTTGCTGGTCCCGCTGTTGCTGGTGCTGCTTTTCTTGCTGCGGTGGTAGTACCTGCCGGTAAGACTGATCCTGCGGTTGTGAGTGAGGTTGAAGTTGAGGGGGGAAACCTTGCGGCGGCTGATAAACCCGTTGATGCTGCTGTTGCTGGTGGTGGTGGAGATGAACCGTGGGAGGCACAACCACTTCAACAGCCGCCCGCGGGACCTGATGGACAGCCATCGCTGTGTCGCCGATCCCAGTTGCAATTCCCGTTAGAGGCAGAGGCAAAGCCAGAGGCGGAGGCGAGACGGCCTGCGCGCCGCGGCAGTACATGACGAGGTGTCCCAACAGCCACAACCCTGAGAAGCCAAAGACGATGCCGGCGAAAGCGACGGCGGCGTCCCGGGGCACGGCGGCCTTTTCACCAATGCTGTAGACTAGGACGACGACGGTGAAGATGACGAGGGTGAGGATCATTGTCGCGGGGAGGATCTTTGCGGTGTAGTCGTGGATGACCCTGTCCGTCGTCGGCCGAGGCATTCTGAAAGGGGGGAAAAGGTTACCCTTCTCTACTACGTTTTGAGCTAGTGTTGAATTTACGATTTTGAGGTGTTTGATATGACTGGAGTTGTACGCTTTGGGTTTTAGCAGGCTGGTTGAGTTACTACAGTCTTTCCTAAGACTGATATAACATCAGGGGCATATTGGATCAATCTCATGGTGGGCCTTGCGATATCAACACACTGCATCAAAGACGCGAGAAGGCTTTGGTTCATACTCGTAGGCAGATGAACTCATGATCCCATTCTAGATTTTCTCCCTCCATATCTCCTAGTAGTGTACAGAAAACGTGTCTCATATCTGTCGTAACAGGTTGTTTGCTCGACAAGCGCAAGCATTTCAACACAAAGAAAATCGGTAGAACAATTTGTAGTCTATCAAAAAGCAGAAGCCGAATCACCCAATCACCCAAGACAGGAACAAAGCCTTCCTGAAGAAAGACATCTCCAATCATGAAGGACGCCGGTATGGTTCATAGTGAGACCTCGGCCTCGTCGTCTCCCCTTCCTCCCGAACACGCCACTGACTAAAAGAAACCGGCGTGGCGGGCAGCTCGACAGCGAGAGCAAGCGCAACAGAAACGGGGACGGGAACGCTGCCGTCGTCTTGGTCGTCATAGCGACGGCTGTCGTAGCGGTCGCGACCAAAGGAGTCCGGGCTGTAGTGTTTCCACGTGTACGGCTTCGCCAGCGGCGGCTTCATCTCCACGGCGTACGCCGGCGGCGGGGAGTTGTACCGCGGCAGCGACGAGACGTCCTGGTCCGAGCCGTTTTGGCGTAGTTGTTGCCAGGGGCGGGGGAACTTTGCGGAGCCGACGCTTTCTGAGATGGAGCGTCTCTTGAACCAGAGGAGGCAGGTTAGGCCTGCTACCGAGGCGATGGCTGCGACGGTGGTGCCTGCGATGATGCCGCCTGATGTTGAGTTTCTCGGGGAGGCGGCTGCTGCGGCGGCGGGGGTGGTTTCTGAGGGGGATGTTACTGCTGATGGGGTAGGGAGGTCGTCGCCTGGGTTTGCGGATGGTGTCGACGAGGCAGCTGGAAGTGTCTCGATCACTGTCGTCGTCGTCGCTGCCTGGGTAGCCGCCGTCGGCGTCGCGCTCGTCACAGTCCTTGTCCTCGTCTTTGTGGATGAGACTGACGTGCTGGAAGTTTGAGATCCCTCCCCCTCCTGACTGTCGTCCAAGACGCAGGCAGAGTCGCCTCGACATGTGTACCCAAAGGGACAACACTTGTTTCCGCACTGCGGCAGAGACTCTTTCAGTCTAGTGGTATGGATCGGGCTCGTCGGGTTCTCGACTACGTCTTGTAAGGTAACGTCGCAGGTGATGGGCGAAATGGTCTCGCACGAAGACCCCTTTGGACAGCACAGGGCGGTGGTTTTCTCCGCGAGCACCATGCATGTCGTTTCGCTGGGACAGCAAAAGTAGTCTGCCATGCCGTTGCCGCAGGCTGTGTAGCCTTTGACGGGACAGCTAACGTCGGCTCGCAATGTTGATTTTGGTGTAAGTTGGTTGTCAATATTATGGGAGTTTGATGTTGGTAGCGATAGGGGTGTTATCTGCAGTCCGGAGACGCATGTTTCGATGTAGAGAAGCCAAGTTATTATGCATAGCCTCCGCCAGCTTCTCACCGAGGCCATGTTGTTTATGCAAAGATTATAGGAGGATCCCCAAAAGAGAGCGGTTGTAGAGGATGAAAGAGATGTAGAATGGTAGACAGATCGTAATATCAAAGGGAATCCAACCAAGACAGAGACCATCAACTCAAGGAAAAGCCACTCGGCCGGAACATACACGTAGAGGACATCGCGGTATATCAGTGCCTCGTCTACAACAGCCAAGACAAGCAAACTAAAAGACGCCGTTGGTTAGAACTAACAATTGAACCAACCGCAGAACAAGCTCTGCCGCGATGACGGGGGGGTTTCGACGTTCGGTCCTCGTCGTCGCCAAGCGCGACCAATCACACGAGCCGTCTACGCGCGAACACTTTACAAATCCCCTACGCCGCTCCAACAGCAGCAAACGCCAACCTGCAGGAGACAACACAGCAAAGAAAGGAGGAAGAATTTCCAATTTACCGTTCTGTCGGCGCCGTCTAGGTCATGTGAGTGGACGGCCATGAGGGTCTGCTGCAAGCTGCACCCTGCAACGTCTCAAGACATGGCCAGAACGGGTAAGGAGGTTGACCTGAAGGCCGATTGTGGCAGTCTGGCGCTTGTTGTTCCTCGTCCTTTTCTTGAGAGGGTCTGGGTACAGGACCCGGATGCCACGATGGTGATGACAGGACCCGAAAATCGGGTGGTTGTCGATGAGGCAGGTGGGAATAGGCGTCCCGGGAGAACGGTCACGGCGGCTATGGTGTTTGGACCCTCTGGGCGAAATCCCACCTGTCCGGGATTTGGAAGGCGTGTAACCTGTGAGAGAGGGCCTCGAAAGACGGTCTGGACGAAGGGCGATCAAACGCGGTTGGGCCTAGCGAGGCATACTTTTGACGACGTGGCGAAATTTTCTGGCAGTGGTAATGCTGGAGGTGGTATGGCGGGAAGACGAAGCAAGATACGCCGTTGATCAGGGGAGCCGAAATGTTGGGCTATGCCCATGAGCGTCTGCGAGGTTGTGTCATGGCGGCGGACTGAAGGCCGGCCATCTGTCCAACACTGCCCGAATGACGAGCTTTTCCCCGGGGACGGCATCTCTCCTCAGAGGTTACGCTGCCGGATGGGGGCTGCTCCGGCCCTCCGAGTCTCACCTCTCGGGAGCGGAAGCCGGAGCCGGAGTTGAGGCCGAAGTTGAGGCCGGAGCCTGTGCAAGCTGCACTAGGACCATCGGACGAATTGATCGTGGAGCATTTCTGCCGCCTAGAATGTACTCAGCTAGACGGGATGGTATATAGAACATTATCAACTCGAGCGTCAATCCAGAATGTAGCTGCGACTGCATATCCTACCACCTTGTCGAGGGATTCCCCATGAGGCAGTCTCTCTACCAGTGGAGGCTCAAGTGATGGCATGATGTAGCCCATCATGACACGCGAGAGAGCACCAGTCCACCGAGGGAGCAGCACAAGATGCCACGATATGTTTCCCACAAGGAACTCCAGCCAGAACTCTTGTACCTGTTCTCCAACTCAGCCCATCCACAGTCGAAACGTCCACTCGGGGCCGCCCAGGCTTTGTTCAACGGGTACCTAATCGACTGGCTAGACCGAGGCATAATCCATCCTCAGGGCATGGCAACAAAGCAGTGGACAGGGGTACGGTAAGTACGGAGGGGCAATCAGCTGATGTCAGTGCCAAAACCACAGCATCTCTAGCGGTACCAATCCCGCCTGTTCTCGGCTTTTCTCAGCTTTCCCCAGAGGCCAGAGCCCCTCCCGATCCCCCGCGAGATCCCGCCTCCGTCGCATTTCTCAAACAAACCACCCAAAATCATCCCGGTTTCCAAATTCCCATTTCCCAGAGTTCATTCTCTCCAACTTTACCTTACCTTATCCTACATCTTCCCTCCCACCCTCCTCTCGGCCCGTTATCAGAGTTCCATCCCACAGGGCCTGAACCTCACCACCCAATTGGGCTCCAGAGTGCTTCTTTTCCCCCTTTAGTTCGTCTGTAGGTCTCCAAAATGCTCCCCTGGAGAACCATCGCACCCCGAGCCGCGAGGTATGTAGTACAGTCATCGTCCACATGTGTGACACGTGAAGGTCTCACTCCCCCGTTCTAGGCGTTCCGCTTCTGCATTCGGAGCACCACCCCGCCGCATCATATGTGGTGGCACCTTTGGATCCGCGAGTAGACACCTCTCCGCAACCGCCGCCGCCCGCCAGCTCAACGCAAAGGTCGTCACCGAAGGCGTGCAATTCGAAGGGCTGACGGGCGTATCAACCCGTAGATCAACGCTGTAAGTCCCGGTCATAACCTGACCCAACCCACCGCACCTACCTTACCTTATCACAACCCCCGCCTTCTTTCTCCGTCCCCCGTCCCCCGTCTTCCCGCTCGGCTCCCCCGGTTCCCTGGCCGCAACTCCGGCTCCGGCTCCGGCTCCGGCTCCGGCGCAACCAGCCGGTCCTCACCATGACGTGACCATCTTCCACACACCTCAACTAACACAAACTCTCTCTCACCGCGCAGCCCCCATTTCTGGCTAAGGTACGTTTCCGCCAACCGCATCAGCAAGCCTCAGCACCAGAAATCCATCATCTCGGCCGAATTGACACAACCCCACCGGCACACAGAGACAACTGTCGATGCAGCAAATGCGTGAACCAAGACACCACGCAACGAAACTTTGATACATACGCCGTGAGCCCTCCCCGTCTGTCCTATTCCATTTGATCACATCGTGCCTCCTAGCTGCTGCTGCTGCTGCTGGCAACATGGCCCCCAACCTTCAAATCACCTAACCCGTTCCCCTCCCACTCCCCAGAAATGCCGTTCCCCAACTCGACTAACAATGGCAATTTGGTTGAACGAAACTGTAGATTAGCCAAGACATCAGACCTTCCGAGATCAAGTCTCAAGAAAAGGGTATCAAGGTGACATGTAGGTGCAACACCCAACCCCCCCTCCCCTTCTAACACTCTCGTAAAAGAAACACGGATGTAACAGTCATGCGCAACTAGGGGAGCAAGACGGTCACGAGAGCTTCTACCCATGGCACTTTATCAAGCACTACCTGCAACATGACCACCGCAGTCCGGAACAAGTCAAGTAAGAGGCAATCTCGTACCATCACATCACACCAAGTCACTGACCTTCCACGCAAGCTACCACTTCTGGGGCTCCGACGTGGGCGAAAGGCGCCCCGTCGTCGAGTACGACCACCTCATGACCGACAAGGACGACTCGGGCGTCGCAAAGTTGACAAACCTCATTGTAAGCATGCCCAATCCTCTGCTACCAGGGCATGACAGGTCAACTGACACCCACAGCGCGAGTACGGCTTCGCATTCGTAGACGGAACCCCCTACGACACCCCGGAACCAACACAGCGCGTGCTCGAGAGAATCGCCTTCATCCGTGAGACGCACTACGGCGGCTTCTACGACTTCGTCCCGGACCTCGCCATGGCCGACACGGCCTACACCAACATCGCCCTCCCGGCGCACACGGACACGACCTACTTCACCGACCCGGCCGGCCTGCAAGCCTTCCACATGCTCTCCCACGAGGCTCCGCCGGGACAGCAGCTACCCGAAGACGGCAAGCTCGGAGGCGAATCGCTCCTCGTGGACGCCTTTTACGCGGCGCAGATCCTGCAAAAGGAAGACCCGGCCGCGTACGAGATCCTCTCCAAGGTGCGCCTGCCCTGGCACGCGAGCGGCAACGAAGGCATCACGATATCTCCCGACAAGCGGTACCCCGTGCTCGAGGTTGACCCGCAGACGCGGACGCTGCAGCGGGTGCGGTGGAATAATGACGACCGCGGCGTGGTGCCGTTTACCGACGACGTCTCGCCGACCGCGTGGTATGCGGCGGCGCGCAAGTGGGATGCCATTCTCCGGAGATCCGACGTTGAATTTTGGTGGCAACTGAGGCCCGGCCAGGTTTTGAGTGAGTGGTGCCATGTCTTGCCTTGAAACAAGACGGGACAAATGCTAATCAGTTTTCAGTCTTTGACAACTGGCGTGTGATGCACGGTAGGAGTGCGTTTGAGGGCAGGAGACGCATCGCCGGCGCCTACAGTGAGTATCTCGACTTTCTCCGGTCATCACACGAGCAACGCAACTAATACCGATAGTTAACCGTGATGATTTTGTCTCCCGTTGGAGAAACACAAACTTCCCCCATGAACAGGTCCTGAACCAGGTTGTTGGCTGAGGTAGACGGAACACATGATAGGGTGTCAAAGGTCTTGGGCGGAGCTGCATTGGCATGTGAAGGAGCACATGGTTCGCGAGTAAAGGCGCAAAGAGGAAACCGTTGATATCATCTCGTCCGTTCAATCGCTGCGTTTTGGCCGATGACCCGCGCGTTTCGTTTCTGGCAGCCCGGGTCTCGTGTCATTGTGTGCCCCCGCGATGTCCCCTGTAGTGTAAAAAGCGGCTGTAGTGTAGAAGCGCGCCAGTCGAGTCAAGGCGGGGGATGTGCGTTTTAGCCCCGATGGCCCCGCGATTCAGGACCTTGGCCCATTGAGCAAACCCGCCGTGGACACTGGGAATTGACATTTCGCATCTTTAGAGACTTGGACACGGCCCAGTTCAGGAACAATGCGACCCGAATAGCCCCGAAGGCTGGGACCCCATGGCACCAGGTTCCCCCCACAAGAACCTGGAAGTTCTGGAACCCCCCGGCAACGACCGAGGATGAAGAAGACTTGAGACATGCAGCAGAAGCCTGGAAGGGAATGTTGCGACGACGGCAGCCATGCATAGGCATATCCCTAGTGGCCGTCTTCAGGGTCAATGACGGCTTTGAGACACCTCATTGACCCCTCCATCCGTCCTAGCGTGGAGCGACACAACATGGAGCAGACAGCTTCCCCTCCGGGAACCTCCCCTTGAGCCCCACAGCGTCACCTCGCTGTCGATTGTTCCGGCGCATGAGCCAGGGACTCATTGCCGCGGCGCGCCGGCCATACTAGTATTAGTATTAGCTCCTCCCTCGAGGGGGCCGCTTCGTGAATGTACATCGTCGAGTGGAATCCTCAATATCTTTAGAGTGCGGTGAAGCTTTCTCCCTAGAACCTTGTTTGAGTGAATTAGCAAAAGAAGAAAAGAGACCCTCTTGCGGCAATATTCCTCCCTGTCCTGTCGAGTCGACGCTTGTTAAATATGTTCCGCCACGCCCTTCGCGCTGCGGTCTCGCGGCCCCGAGTCCTCTGTGTCCCTCGTGCCGCAGTCGCCAGCAACAGCAGCAGCAACCCCGCGAGATTCCAGCCCTTTTCCACGACAGTCGCAAGAATGGCCGACATGAAGGACGGTGCTTTCAAGCACGATGCCACCGCGGCCCCGCAAAGCACTCGTGTGCTGCCTCTCTTCTCTCTCAAGGGCAAGACGGCCATTGTCTCTGGAGCTGGTGCTGGCATTGGCTTGCAGATTGCCCATGCCTACGCCGAGGCGGGTGCCAATGTCGCCATCTGGTACAACAGCAACAAAAAGGCCCTGGACCGTGCTGCTGAGATTGAGAAAGAGTACGGCGTCAAGTGTGCGTGGAGACGCTATAGAAAGACGTCCCAGCCGTGTTGCTAACCATTCCGCAGGCAAGGCGTACCCGGTGAACGTCACCTCCCACCAAGCCATCCAGGAGTCGATCCAGCAGATTGTGTCCGAGTTCAACGGCCGCCTCGACATCTTTGTCGCCAACTCGGGCATCGCATGGGAAGAGGGTCCTTTGATTGACGGGCCCATGGACGTTGCCGACAGGGTCATGGCCGTCAACGTCAATGGCACCGTGTACTGCGCCCAAGTTGCTGGCGAGCACTTCCGCAGGCAAAAGAAGGAGGGCACAACGCTCGACGGCAAGAAGCTCGAAGGCTTCACGACTGGTAGCTTTATTGCTACCGCTAGCATGAGCGCTCACGTTGTCAACATCCCCCAGGCGCAAGCCGTGTACAACGCGTCCAAGGCG